TACTTTTAAGTGTTTTTTTTTTTTTTTTCAAACCAAAATCTGGAAATATACCCTTAAAGGGGTAGTTCACTCAAAATGAAGAGTCTGTCATCATTTACTCATCCTCATGTTGTTCAAACCTGTGACTTGCTTTCTTATGTGGAACACAAAAAAAAATATTTTGAAGAATGAAGAATTTTAACTGTTTTTATGCAATTTAAAGTATAGGACCCCATTGACTTTCATTGTATGGACAAAAAAAAAAAAAACATCAGCAACGACATAAGTAAATAACAGCACAATTTAAATTTGTGGGTGAACAATCCGTTAAAGTTTCTAAAACCCACTGATGAAAATTGCTAAGAAACCTCTTAATTAAATGCTTTCTTTCAGATCTTCACCGACAGATTGAAACTTGAGATATTTGTTGTTTGGTGTGATATGAACGTCTGCTGTGATGTTAAAGGCGAAGCACAGGAGAAGGGATGTATTTAGGTGTCTTTAATTTACGATTGTCTGAATGCGTCAGAGTGTTTGCCTGCCGGTGAATACCTCAGACATCTACTTACCAACCGTGTGAGGATGACTAATCTCAAAACAACAGGCTTCCTGAGCTGTTTGTGTTGGTTTCAGACACTTTAACCCCTCTTGTTCTCTCTGTTAGTGCCGTCCTCGAGCTCGGTGAGGTTTCAGAGTGGCACTATGAACACTAATGTCATCAGCTTAGTCACCATGGCACCCCAGCGTTCACAAACTTTGAGCATGGCCTCTGTTTTTGAGGACAGCAGTCTTGCCGTCTGCCTCCTGGTGATTTCTATCTACTTGCTTTTACAGCTCTGGCGACGAGCCTGGAGTTTGGAGCCCTTAGCCAGGGTTTGTAATGAGATATGACAGATTTGGGGTGGGGTTTTTAGGGGAGCCGGCTGAGATGCTCTCAGGGAAATGAGCAGAGTGACAGCTGGGATGAAGAGGGGAGGAAGATTGATTTGGCCTTGAAGAGGCAGCAACATTACAGACCCCTGATAAGCACAGTTACACTGAAGTCCTTATAAATTTAATTCAGATTATTTGTGTAGTGTTTTTCAGAATACATGAGTCTGTAACATGGCACTCATTTCTGTTTTCCAGATTTACATTATGATTTTATTTTTAAATTAATTAAAATGCAAGTTGTGCATGTAGTGAATTGAATAACACTTATCCTGTGATAAGCGTGTTATTAATTTCTGAATAAACTAAATCAAAACAAAAGCATGCACATCACTGGAAAAACTCTCAAAGAGGGTGCTCGACAAAAAATATTGATAATGAAAATAGGAAAAAGTTGGCATGTGATAGTCTGTTATTAAATTTTTGTATTTTTTGGAGCCTAGGTGTGCCGACTTTTTTCTATTTTCATTATTAATTTCTGAATGAAAATTTTTATTTAATATTTGATCACAAAAATGTGAGTGTGGTACAACTGTCCTAATATAAAAATGAAGAAAGAAAATCCTCAGGAAAAAAATTGCATTGTTTGGCATTATATATATATATTGCCATATATATGTCAAGTTGTGTGACAGTCCAAAAAAATTTATATTTATGAATGAATAAAATGATGAAAAACAAAAAAGTACTTTTTTATCTTAAAGTATGTTAAAATGTATTAAAGATGTTCAAAATCAAAATATTATTGATTTATTATTCTTTTTTTGTGATCTCTCTTATTTGTCATTGATCCATATGTCATACAACATGCAGTGTTTGTCTCTCTGAGATTATCTTTCAGTCCTTTGTTCAGTGCCAGCTTGTCGGTCAATCTGTTTTGCTCACTCCCGCCCTTCCTTTTAGTTAGAGGCAGTAGAATCAATAATGCATGGCTGTGTAATACCCTGACTGAGCAGATATCTCAGCAGGTAGCTGTGATGATTGTTGTTTGGGGACCAGCAGGTATTACTCAACACTATGTTTGGTTCTGTCCTATAATGAAGGTCCCAGCCAGCGCTTTGCAGCATGCTCACCAACAGCTGTGTTGCAAAGACTGCCGTGCCTATGAAATTAGATCATTATGCAATGCTAGTCTAGCTCAAGGAGGCAGGGGTCACTGCTGTCTGATCACTCTGAGATCAGTAATCTTTTGTCACCTTAATGTTTATGACATGCTCAACTAATGATACTCAATCAAACAGGCCATTTGAATCAAGGTCAGTTGTCCTTGTTTGTTGATTCAGAGGAAAAAAAAGAAGTGCTCTTTCTTCAAAAAAAATTAAATTAAGTAGTTAGAATTACAGTGAGGCAAGAGTTGCTTTTTTTTGTGGTGACTGCAGAAGTAAAACCTCTGCTTCCTCTCTTGTGTAGAATGTACATATCCTGTTGAATGTATGTACTAATTAGTGTTGTCACGGTACCAAAATTTCAGTATTCGGTACCAATACCGGTGAAAATCCACATTTTATGAGCACTTGAGACAAATGCAGAACATCTGATTTGAGTTTCCGTGTGAGTGTGGTTAGATTATACTCTTCCTGCTGTTGATGACAGTGATGGCGTTTACTGCTCTTCTCAAATCTCTACATAAAGAGGAGTGCAGATCACTTACAGTACATTTCAACTGATCCTGAGTTAATCAGTTGCTGTGCTTGTTCTAACTTGTATTGCATTTAGCACAAACTGTTCAGGTTATACTTAATATTACTGTTTTACTTTTCCAGCAGAGTCTTGCTTAATGTGCTGCCATTAGATCTATACCTCAGTTTCTTTCCCTGGCCCACACATCCCTGTTGGCTTCATGCCCTTCACCTAACCAATCAAGGGCTGAAGCTTTTTACATATACATGAATGAACACATATTCAGCCACAAGAACATCAATATCACGCCACCACTGTGATCTAGACACTTGAATGAACTTTAAAATTCCAAAAATGCTTGTCTACACCACATGTTTAGATAAATCCTAGTTTTATTTTACCCCAGTTTGAAAACCAGTTTTGTGGATTTACCCACTACGTACATAGACATTTTTAAGGATACCAATATACAAATCTGCACATGCATTCCTCTGTTTCCTTTGTGTCTGTATTTATCTCAATAAAAAATGAAACAATGAGCTCATAATTGCATTATTAAACCCATGAAGGCCTGACTGGCTCATTGACCATTCTGTGTCTGTGCGTGTTTGGAGATGCTTTGCTTTTTGCTTCAATTACAGGGCTTATTTTAAGAGCTGAGGCATTACGATGTGGCACTCGTTTCCCATGATCATAAATTATACGGAGGGCAGATAATTACACGTGTCAGTGGTGTTGACACATGTTGGCATGTCAGAAAGAAGGCCCGGGTAGTTATTTTCACAGACTAGGGCCTGCTTATGATATAGTCATGTAAAAATCATCACAGTGAGTCATATGAAGTGGGAAAAACCCAGTCCTACAGTCCTAGGATGTAAATGGTGTGATCTTTGTTGTGTTTGACTTGACCGAGACACAGAGGCTGTGGAAATCCCACTTCTGTGTGATGTCAGAGTGAAAGTGTGCTCTCAGCGCAAAAGCACAATAGAGTCGGGACAGCTGGGTATCATAGCCCTGGGACTGTCACACCCCGCTGGTCTCCTCTCTTCTCCGGGCTGGAATAATTAGAGCATATGGAGGCAAAAGTCATCAGATTTCTTTACAGCAGGAAATGCAAAGGTACTGTCGATTCTTGGACTTTCTCAGGTTGTTTTCTCATCACCCGTGACACTGGTTTGAAAGCTAACTCGAGACTTGCTGTCAATTCATCCACTGAAATGTGATTCTGCAGCTGTAAACAATGAAATAGGTGCTAGTTTGTAGTTTTTCATGTTTGGATGAAGGACTAATCTGAATAATTAAACTAATTGAATAATTAAAGTGCTATACAACAGCTAAATTAGATGGCTCTGCTGTATCGTGTCATGTTTTTTTAAATTGGAGCTTTAGTATTCAGGACAAGTAGGTCTATCCAGAGTTCTAGGCTTCCCAAGAGCTCACGTAAACATCATAATTCAATATTTCAATAGGCTGTCGGGATTGAGCGGAGTAAATTAATTTGGAACCATGCTTGAGTGCTCGGCGGATGTTGGACAGGGAGAAAGAGAGACAGAGAGAGATACAATGGAAATGAAAAGTGATAAGCCTGGATAAACTCTCTGTAATGTGCGTGTTTGTGCATGATGGACCTCTGTGAAGAGCTCTCTTGACCCTATGCATTGTCCTTCTGTCTATTGAGAAGTGTTAATGTACCAATTTACTTAATCATTATCATAAAACCTGTTCTTTGAAACATTAGATTTTTGCATAAATGTTTGAAATGTCTGCCCACCAGCTATTTTTGACTTGTTTTAAGGAACTAGACTGGAGCCGCATAGACTAGATTGTGAAATGTGAATGACAATTTTTTTTTCTGCCTGGATCAGAGTATGGTCATGTTTTAAATATGCAGACTTTTTTTGACATTTTAATTGAGTTTTCATTGCAAAACAATGTCCAAAAGGAACTTTGATCCATAGAGGTTGAGTTTACCAGGCGTAAATATTTATTGTTTGTGCATTAAAAAAAAAAAAAAGCATATTTCCCCATTTAGTTATCAAATTACAGGAAAAAAATTGACATATCATGATTTTGTTCATGCATTGTTGAGTATCATTTTGATGGCTTAAGGACTATTCCACGTGTCATATATGGAGTTCTAGAGAAAAGCTAAACTTGAAGCATAGGTTAAAATATGATGGTAAACTTTCCACTTGGGAGAAAAAATCACAAGTCACCACCCATGATTACATATGGCCCTTGCTGAGTGATTATTTTTGCCGTAAGAGAGATCTTTCAAAAACACTCAAAAAATCTGACCAACCCCAAACCTTTAAATGTTAGTCTATGGTTAAGTGTGTAGATAGATGATGGCGGTTAGTGTGCTATTTTCAGTAGTAAAATTTACATTTTGTTCTAAATACCTTTAGAATGCATAACCGGAGTGTGAAGTATTGTAATAACTCTGCTGCTTCTCCTCCTCTGATTGGCAGAGATCCGAGCCCAGTTGGTGGAGCAGCTTAAGTGTTTGGACCAGCAATGTGAGCTCCGTGTGCAGCTCCTGCAGGACCTGCAGGACTTCTTCCGCAAGAAGGCTGAGATCGAGATGGACTACTCCCGCAACCTAGAGAAACTAGCCGAGAGGTTCCTGGCCAAGACTCGCTACACAAAAGACCCTCAATTCAAGTAAGAGAACATTTGGCTGTGTTTCCAGCAAATCTTTTTTTTTTTCCTTTTTTTTTTGCTGATACATCATAGTCCTGTGATCCATGCCATTACCTGGGCAAGGTTTGAAATCAATGTTTATCCAGGTTTTTTTATCTTAATCTCTCACACAATCTTCTGATTATATAAGAGCTGTTTTGCAGTGAATGTTGAGATGGTTAAGTAAACTCTCACCAAGGTCATGTGATATTCAGTCAACACCTCCCTTTAGGCTTATTCAAGATAAATTCATTAAAATCTACGGTAAAAACCCACAACAGTCATATTTTAGCATGTAGGCGTAAAAAGAGTCTCCTTGTTTGTCAGAATGATGATGAACCAGCTTCTGGCAATGTAAATACAGTAAGTCCTTTGAGGATTTCACAAGACCCCGCTGTTATGTAAGAGGTTTGTCTCATATCTCTGAGATAGCAGCTGGGATTTTGATTGTGGAATAAAGTCGAGTATTTTCTTTGAAGCCCTTGGTTCTGCTCCAGTGACCCATATTTGATCCTGATTCTGTAGCGTTTAGTGTTATTATGCCATATTACGAAGAAACAGCTGGCGTAACATTAAGAAAAGCAGTGGAAGTGGAGCATTTATGTTCTTACTCAAGATATAAATGTTTTTATTATCCTGTCTGATTGGCTATATTAGCTTATAATGCTAATTTTATTGTTTAGCATGAAACAAAACAGTCTTTTTAGGGGCCCTGATATAATTTTTATACATAGAGCTAGACTTTTGAACAGGCTTTTTTAAAGCTTAGTTGCGTAGAAAGGCATGTGGCAATTATGCCGAAGACCTGGCATTAAACGAATGCTGGTTTCCCGATACAGACTAGCGAGCTTTGAGAATGATGCTGTCTCACATCAGTCATTATGACAGGATATGCTGCGGAAGAGCCTATTAATCAGTGTTATATAGTGTCTAAACAGATCTCTGTGGTCAGACGCTTGGATCCTGTTGGATTCAGTTTGATCTTGTGAAGATGTGTTAACCTCATCCTCAAAGAATAACAAAGAAGAGCTTAAAGACCAACTAAAACTCAAAAGTTTTAAGTATAATTCCTTGCCCTGGCTTATGTGTGAATTATGACTTGTCTTGTTAACTGAAGCAGTATGTGATGAGAACCTTTATGAGGGTAACAATAACGTCTTCCCTGTCAACAAGCTTCCCGACCGCTATAAAGCAAAAATTGTGCTTGCGTTAACATTTATCAAGGTGCTTTTGTAACTCCCAATGTTCTGTATTTGCAGTGACACATTGTCATTCTTTTATGCTTGCTGTGTAAATAGGTTGGACTGGATTTGAGTTGTTTTCCAGGTTCTAGTGTGCGTACCTTGACGGGTTTCTTTCTGGCGGTTTTGCCCCAGGCACTGTTTTGACATGGGGGATATCCAGTGCTTGAACTTTTCCTTCATTTCATTGTTTCTTTCATTTTCCACCTTGTCATGTGCTTCTCTTTGCTCCTTTCCTTTTTCACTCTCTGACTTTTCACGTTGTTTTGCTCTTTGTATTTGCACTTGACTCCTCAGCTCCCAATATAATGGTTTGGAGTGCTGGAGGCTTCAAGTCTGGGAAAGTCAACATATGGCTCTCTGACAGCTTGTAGAAATAATCAATAGATAGCACACGTTTTTTTGAGAGTGGTTTTGTGTGACAGCTCTGTGCCTTATCAGTCCATGGTGCACATGAGACCCCTGTGTACCTTAGACCCTGGGGGAGGTTCAGTTTCAAATGAGAGCTACACATGCATGCTCTAGTATAAGCGGTGGGTGTACACCACAATATTCATTTTTGGACAAGAACAGTATATGTCATAATATAGACTTTTTTTGGGGAAAAATCATTCAGAAATTACTGAAAAAAAAAAAGAATAATAAGATATTAATTATAATAATAATGATAATAAACTTTTAAATAATAATGTTTTTTATTTGAAAAATTATCTACATTTTAAGTAAACATTTATCAAAAAATATGAAAAATGATTCAGAAAATATAGAACTAATGAAATAAGTAAAAATAAAAATGTATTCATATTAATCAATAATAATAATAATGTGTGTGTGTGTGCGCGCGTGTATGTATGTATGTGTGTGTATATATATATATATATATATAATAAATAATAATATTATTAATAATAATATATTATTATTGGATAATACAAATTGATAAATGTTATCAAATTTTTATTTGAACTGTTATCTACTTTTTTAATTAAACTTATCAAAAATGAACTAATAATCATGGATGGATGGATGGATGGATAAAAACTAATAAGAGAAGAAGAAAATGTGTCATTTTATTCAATACAATGTTATGTTTTTCTAATTTTAAGCATTAAGAAGACTCCGCCATCAGGCAGTTTTTGCTCTATTTTGCTTGCATTTCCTCTCCGAGAACTCATTTCTTCATTTTAACGTCATTCCTTCTGCTTGTCTCCTGATTTCCTCATAGCTCATTTTTTTCTTCTGCATTAGCCCCGCATTACACCATCTTTTTCTCTGAACACCCCCTCACTACACCAAGACTCCAGTAACCCCTGCTCATGTCCGCCCTGATACCAGTGACCCCCACTGAGATATTCTAATCGGATCGTAATCTCGTCCTAAATACCATACCCTGCCCTCCGTGGATCCCCTGAGCTCCAGGAATCTAGTTCCATCATCTGCATGTTTAACAGGCAACATCTGGGACTATGATGCCATGAAGGAATGTGAGGTATTTTCCGGCCTCGCTCTTCCAGAAGAACATAGCTGTCGGTGAGGCCCCTAACCGACAAACTAAGGGGCATCTATAGGGATCTTTTGGAGATGCCTGATATGCTGCTTATGTTCTTACAGGGTAGAGTTCAGCTCAATGCCTTCCATTTTACCAGTCAAGGGTCAAATGGCTCCTCTATGTGTGGTATGACAGTGTGCGTCATCTGTTCAGCAAGCCAGTGGGAGGCCCGATGACGAGTCTCCCGGCAATGAAAGGACAGCATGGTTAAGAAACACGCGGTCTGGAATGATAACACGCCGTGGTACTGACCTAATTTCTAGCATGCCTGATTTTCTACAAATGGACTGAGTTGATACAAAGAAGCAACTGAAACTCACCACAGCTTCTGGACTCATGACAAATAAGAAGTCTGGTGGTTACTAGAGCTTCACGATTTTTTTTGTCTCAAATAGAGATCACGATTCTCCCCCGATTCTGAACTAAACAAAATAATGTGTGGCAAAATATTATTGCTGCAGTCTATTTAAAAGTGTTTAATTAATTTGAATGAATTATTAAACATTTTAATATACACTACCAGTCAAAAGTTATTGAACAGTAAGATTTTTTTATGTTTTTTAAAGAATTCTCTTCTGCTCACCAAGCCTGCATTTATTTGATACAAAATACAGCAAAAGCAGTAATACTGTGAAATATTTTTACTATTTAAAATAACTGCTTTCTATTTGAATATATTTTAAAATTTAATTTATTCCTGTGATCAAAGCTGAATTTTCAGCATCATTACTCCAGTCTTCAGAGTCACATGATCCTTCAGAAATCATTCTAATATGCTGATTTGCTGTTCAAGAAACATTTTATTATTATTATTATCAATATTTAAAACACTTGAGTACATTTTTTCAGGATTCTTTGATGAATAGAAAGATCAGCATTCATCTGAAATAAAAAGCTTTTGTAACATTATACACTCTACCATTCAACATCTTGGAGTATTATAAATTAATACTTTTATTTAGCAAGGATCCTTTAAATTGATCAAAAGTGATGATAAAGACGATGATAAAAGAATTTATAATGTTACAAAAGATTTCTATTTCAGATAAATGTTGCTTTGAAATCACAAGAATAAATTACATTTTAAAATATATTCAAATAGAAAGTTATTTTAAATAATAAAAATATTTCAAAATGTTACTGTTTTTGCTGTACTTTGGATCAAATAAATGCAGGCTTGGTGAGCAGAAGAGACTTCTTTAAAAAAAAAACATTAAAAATATTACAGTTCAAAAACTTTTGACTGGTAGTGTATATGTATTTAAAAATATATTGAATACACCAGTTTAATATTAAAATTATGAAAAAGTTGTTTGAATCAATGATTCAACGACTCACTCATAAACCTACTGGATGAATCAGCGTTTTTGAATGATTCTCTTGAATAAATGATTCATTCAATTATACATTTTTTAAGTCACTAGGTGGCGAAACAATGCAATCGACACAAACGTTATGTGGCAGTTACTTTCAAATGCGGATTTGCTCTATTTTGGTCGCGTTACCATAGACATCAATGTTTATATCTGAATTATAAACTTTCATCCCAGTATTTCTGTGATAATATGAATGACTGTATGACAGAAATAATACTGTGTAGTTGAAAAGACTGTTTGTGAAGCTGTTTCTTAACCAAGCATGGTAACTGCTCTCTGTGTGTCAGCGGCAGTACGAACGCAGATTTGAATGATCCGGTAAGACTTTGTCCAAGTTTTAATAGACACGGGAGAATCGTTGTCATTAAGAAATGAGATCGTGTGGTTGTCTGAATCGAGATTGCGATCTTTTAACGATTAATCGTGCAGCTCTAGTGGTTACACTGGTGCCACACAGAAGTGGTGATGTGTCACATGCTTAATGGTCCACTATGCTGATCCAAGATTACACTACGAGCCAGTTCTCTACTTTTCCCCCTCAAGAGGTCGAGAGGAACAGGTTATGGACAATGGTGGTTTCGTCATTTCATAGTTTTTAAAATGTTATCGTATGGTGTTACCTCACTTCCTAATGTCTTGAATTTCTTAGTCCAATCTCTTATGGTTACGACATGTTAATTCATGTCGGATATATCGTATTTACGAGTTGAACGCACATTGAACACCACCACAAAATCATTGGCTGCGTCCGAAAGCCTAGGCAGCCGACTTGCTGCCTCACTGCCTCACTGCCTTATGAGGCAATGACTTTGCAGG